ATGTTTTCTCTTGGGACTCAGCCTAACAGAAATGCTGGCACCAAGACAGTTGTAAAAGGTGTCAGGATCACAGTGCAAGAGCAACAACAACAAAAAGGGAGACAGATGAGGACCATTAATAGAGGAATAAAGTCATTTTGAGGAAATCTGTTAATGGTCCTGGGGTGTTGCCTGCATCCTGGGTTAGGCTGTTGTGCCTTTAGGGTGTTGTTTACGATAGTCCTCAACCTCCTCTATTCCCTGTAAAATGGGAGGTCTCAGTATGGCGAAAATGGAGTTTCATCTCTTGACAAGACCACTTCCCAGGAAGAGCTGTGCTTCCAAGGGCTTCACCCCAAGAGGCCAGGGATATCTGGTGCCTCAGTTTTGGGGTGTTGAGGCTGACCCCTGGGTCAGGTACTATTGGGATGTATACATTGTTGGTGGGAATGTAAAATGGTGCAGCCACTTTGGAAATGTTTGGCAGTTGCTCAAAAACTTAAACATAGAGTTATCATATGACCTGACTTGGGTATATACCCAAGAAAAACAAAAACATGTATTCACACAAAACTTATACATGAACGTCCATAGTATCCATAATAGTGTCAAAAAGTAACCCCCCAAATGTTCAACTCATAAATGGGTAAAACGTGATCTATCCCCAAGACATATTGAATCCCTAGCACCTGCAAATGTGACCTTATTTGGAAACTAGAGTCCCAGTGCATGAAATTCATGCACTCAGGGCGATGGGGGTGGGGCACCCCTTAGCCTGGCCTGTACCCTCTCGCAGTCCAGGAGCCCTCAGGGGATGTCCAACTGCCATGGAGGCAAGAGAGGCTCCCGCTACCGCCACTGAGCTCACCAGCCATGAGCCCTGCCCCTGTGGGAACCCACTGACCACCAGGGGGCAGCTCCTGTAATGAGTGTCTGCCCCTGATGGTCAGTGCGCATCATAGCAACCAGTTGTTCTGCTGTCAGGCTGAATGTGAAAGGACACAGGCCAGGACGAGGCACCCCACCAGTGCACGATTGGAGCCAGGGAGGGACGCGGGAGGTTGGCCAGCTGGGGAGGGGCCACGGGAGGGCTCAAAGGCATCTGGCCCATCTCGCTCAGTCCCAATCAGCTGGACCCAACAACAAGCTAACCTACTGGTCAGAGCATCTGCCCCCTGGTGGTCAGAACATCGGCCCCCTGGTGGTCAGGACACATCATAGCAAACGGTTGAGGGGCCTTAGCATATCATTAGCATATTACACTTTGATTGGTTGAATGGCCCACTGGATGACTGGACATTTAGCATATTAGGCTTTTATGATATAGGATTATACTTATGTAATGTATGTACTTTACATATAAAGGATGACCCAAAATTGATGCAAGAAGTAATTTTGATAGAAAACACAGGTTTATAATTAAAAATTGTAAATGTTTTATTGATTCATAAAGTATACATTCTGGGTTATGTACGGAATAGCACATCAGGTAAATGGCCTCCACGGCTTTGCTGGCACATACGCAAAGCCATGGTCTTCATTGGTCTTCATTGTCCCTGCTCCTGGGCCATAATTGGTACTTGGTAATGCTTATCAAATTGAAGGGACTGAAATCAAAGGGCAACAGATATTAGAATCTGATTCAATAAACCAAGTAAAATTAGGCTTTTATTTTTTGTTATTGTTGTTGTTAATGCTCATGCAAAATTCAAATCTTGCGTGAATTTTGGGACACCCTTTATAAATACAAATATATACACACATATCTTACCTAATAATAGACAAACATGCAAATTGACCATCCCTCCGCTATGCCCACCAGCCAATCGGATGGGTATGCAAATTAACCCAGCAAAGATGGCAGTTAATTTGCATACATAGGCGCCCAGCAGCCTGGGTCTCGGGAACATCGTCAGCACCCAGGTCACTCCAAGGAAGGCCCCGTGTGGGCCCTGAGCAGCCTAGGAAGGGCCTGAGCCAGGGGCCTCCTGGGCAGGCCGAGCCTGCCATTGGAGCCAAGGGGGCCCTAGGCATTAGGCCTGGGCAGAGGCGGAGCTGGCGATCGTGGGGAGCAGGGGCGGAGCTGTCAATCACGAGGAGCTTGGGGTCCCTTGCCCAGGCCTAACTCCTCAGCCAGAGATGTTAGGCCTGAGCAGAGGCAGAGCCCGAGATGGCGGGGAGCTGGGGGTCCCCTGCCCAGGCCTAACTCATCGGCAGGGACCAAGTAGGCCGGGGCAGGGGTAGAACCAGCCATCGCTGGGAGCAGGGGCAGAGTCAGTGATGGGGGGGAGCTGGGGGTCGCCTGTCCATGCCTAATGCTTCTGCCAGAGGCGTTAGGCCTAGGCAGGGGTGGAGAAGGAGATCGTGAGGAGCTGGGTGTCCCCTGCCCAGGCCTAACACCTCGGTCAGAGGGTTAGGCCTGGGCATGGGCAGAGCCAGCTATTGCAAGCAGGGGCGGAGGCGG